TAAAACCAGAGCTTTTAAATTTGGGACCCAGAGAGTCCTGTGTTAGCATTATAGCCCTGCCACTTCACTATGTGTCATCCAAGGAGGTGACTTCACCTTCCTGAGTGTGTATCCTCACCTTTAAAATGAGGCTACTCATAGCAGCCTTACAGGCTTTTGTGAGGGGTAACACATGTAAGCCACCTGGCACCAAGGCCTGGCATGTGGGATAAATGCTCAGCAAATGTTCGCTATGTGCACTGCACTTCCAGGCAGTGACTAAGCCCAAGGTGTGGTCACGGGAGTAAATGGCTGGAGTGGGATGAAGGTCAGCAGAGGTGAGGTGGGAAGAGACCAAGCGGCTAAATAACTGGAAGGATGGGTCATCACAGGGAGGTTAAGCATCCCAGCAGGACAGCCGCATGGATAGAGATACGGTCTGTGAGGAGGTGCTAGAATCTTCAGGAAGGAGGGCAAGTGACCAGAGAGCCAAGAGACGTCAGTGAGGAAGCGGTGGGGCCTGAAGGCAAAATCCTCAAGGAAGCCCAAGTTCTGTGAAGCCAGATTAGAGTCAGTGTCTGCCTCATCTGAGCTCCCACAGCCCCTTGTATGTCCCTTTGAGATGCCCCCAGTGATCATACCCCCAACTACGCCAGAGCTTGTCAAGGGAGGGATTGGATTTGACCCATCCTGTAGGAGCTAGAACAGAAGTATACACTGGTAAATGACTGTTGAATGACTCAGGGGCGGGGGTGAGGGGTGCAGTCTGGAAAGGAGCAGCGTCCTGGGTGACATTTAGTAAAGTGGCGGGGCCAGGAAGTCGAGGGAGATGCTAACACCCAGGACTCTCTAGGTCTCAAATTTAAGAGCCCTGGTTTTAACCACCAGCCGGTACTGTTTTCCATGCTCGGAATCCAGGATCTTGCAGTCTGATCCCAGCACCTGCCTTCCAGGCCCGCAGGCCCCCGCTGCCCTCACACCTGCAGCGTTAACTCACAGAGAGCTCCATTCCCGATTCCTCTGTTTGGTTTGGTGCCAGCTGGCCAGACCCCTCCTGGTTTCTGTCCCTTCTTTGCTCAGTCAGAGCCTCACATCTTATTTGACTTTGTTCCATTTATTTCTCTGCATTTTTAATAACCTAGTGCCTTACAATAGGCCTCTTATTCAGTTTAAACACGTGTTCCCTGAGATCTCATGCTATTCCACCTATCTGGAATACCCTTGCCCATTCTATCCATCCCAAAACTTCCTACTCCTCATTCAAAAATGAGCTGGGGCACTTGGGTAGCTCAGTCAGTTAGGCATCCGACTTTGGCTCAGGTCATGATCTCACGGTTTGTGGGTTTGAGCCCCGCATTGGGCTCTGTGTGGACAGCTCAGAGCCTGAGGCTGCTTCAGATTCCGTGTCTCCCTCTCTCTCTGTCCCCACCCCGCTCACACTCTGTCTCTCTCTCAAGAATAAATAAACATTAAAAAAAATTTTTTTTAAAGAATGAGCAGAAATTAGTCATCAGGGAGAAGAAAAATAAACCACAATGATACCACACATTCATGAGATTCGCGAAATTAAAGTGTCTGACAATACCAAGTGATGGCAAGGATAAATAAAGAGAGGATGCAAAGACAGGGGTGCCTGGGTGGCCCAGTCAGTTAAGCATCAAACTCAATTTCAGCTCAGGTCATGATCTCACAGTTCATGAGATCCTGCCTTGGATTCTCTCTCTCTCACAAAATAAATAAACTTTAAAAAAGAGAGAGAGAGAAAGAGGATGGAAAGAGAACTCTCATTCCGTGCTGGTGGGAGAGTAAACTGGCACAAACACTTTAGAAAAATAGTTCGGTGATATGGTAGGCTGCAAAATGTCCCCAAAGGTGTCCACAGCTTAATCCCTGGAATCTGTGAATGTTATATGTTTGGGGGGGAGCGGGGGGGAAGACTGCAGATGTGGTTAAGTAAGGACTCTGAGACGAGCAGTTATCCTGATTATTTGGATGGTCCCTAAATGCCATCACATGTATCCTTATAAGAGGGAAGTTGTGGGAGATGTGACACAGACAGAAGAAGAGGCAATGTGACCACAGAGGCAGAGATTGGAATGATGGGGCCACAAGCCAAGGGATACTGGCAGCCACCAGAAGTTGGAAGAGGCAAAAAGCAAATTCCTCCCTCCCTAGAGCCTCTGGAGGGAGTATTGGTCTGCTGACACCTTGACTTCAGTCCCATGAAAATGATTTTAGACCTCGGGCCTCCAGAACTAGAGAGAATACATTTCTGTTGGATTAAGCCATCAAAATGTGTGGCAATTTATTACATCAGCCGTAGGAAACTCACATAGGCAGTATCTACCACACCTGAAGATACCTATGTCCAGCAATTCCACTTCCAGGTATATCCCGACAGAAATGTAAGCAGTAATTCACCAAAAACCATGCACATGAATGTTCACCGCAGCATTATCCAGAACAGCCCCAAACCGGAAACAACCTGACTGCTCATCAACAGAGCAATGCATGAAGTACTTATTTGTGGGATGTTCATAAAAGTGAGCCAACTACAAACACGTGGAAGAACTTCACAAACAACACTGAGCAAAAGAAATCAGACACCACAGAAGACATATTGTACGATTCCATTTTATAGCAAGTGCAAGGAGAGATAAAATTACATCATCGAGTGACATAAGACTAGCCAAAAAAAAAAAAAAAAAAAACAAGGAATTATGACCGTAAAAGCAAGGACAGCATTCCTGGCTAGGGAAAGCGGGCGGGGGTTGGGGGTTTGTGATCAGGATGGGACACATGACAGCACGGGGCGGGGGGCGGGGGGGGGCTGGGTTGCAGCAATGTATTTCTCAATGTGGGAGACACAGGTGTTGTACAGCTTCCTAACGCCATCTCACTGTTGTTGGGCACTTTTCAGAATGTTATCTTTCACAGTTGAAATGTCTCCTTGTGGTGTTCATTCTTAACAGAATGCGCCGGGGTCCAATCCATGAAGCCTTCCTGCGGCCCTCCACTCGGTGCCCTCTGGGCTCCCCCAGACTCTGCTACTGATCCGGTCACTGCCCGCTCTGGGCTGTGGCCCGCAGTGGCCCCGGGCTGGCTTGCCCACCAGAACAGGAGCTCCCCAAGCCGGCGCCCCGCGTTGTCAGGGGCCCCCCGGTGGAGGCCGGCGCAGGCAGGGCCAGGGACACGCGCGCCACCACGCCCCAGGCACACGGGGCCCTGCCTCACGTGACCAGTTTGCACTGTAATTGTACTGTAACTGACATCGGCCGCCAGCCTGAGGGAGCAGATGGCCGCTGTGCAAATGAGGGGGCGGCTGACTCTGCACAGCCACTTACCTCTGACTCTGTCCATCTGTCTCTCGGCATCCCATTCAGGAATGTTCCCTAAAGGCCTTCACGGGGCCTCCTCTCTCTGCTGGAATGCTCCCTCTCTGTCATTCGGTTGAACTCCTACTCATCCTTCAAGAGCCAACTCCAGGCTCCTCTCGTCTGTGAAACCATGGCCTCCCTTCCTCTGAGCTCCCACGGGCCCCTATTTCGCCGCGCCGCAGCCTGTCCGCGCCCTGCCCCATGGAATCTTTCTCGACTCCCGAAGCTCTTTGATCTCCGTGGGTTGTCTTCATGGCCTAGGTCTGACTCACTTCTGGGCCTCAGGGGTGTGACAGTCACCGCGGGAGGCCGGCGCGGACTCTGGCAAGTCCAAGCGAGCGCCACAGCGGACGCGCTCTGAGAGCCTCCGGAGGCGCGAGACTTCTCAAGGTTCCCGCCACCGCCGGCTCTTGGCATGCACTGCGCCTGCGCGAGCTCCAGCGGCCTCGCGGTTAGGCGTCCCTACCTCGGGCACGCGCGCGTGTCAGCGAAGGGGGCGGATTTTCGGCTGAGGTGGGTGTGGCGGGACAGGAGGGGCCTGAAGAATGGAGAAGGGAGGAGCACGGGCAGGGCCTGTGCCGCGGAACTGACGCGTGGACAGGGCCTGAATCTCCTCCAGCTAGGAGGCGGGGCCTATCATTCATATGGGGCGGCGGAGAGACCGGCTTCAAAGCCTGATGGAGAAGCACGCCGCGATTCGGCCCAGCAGAGGCAGGACCAGTAGCAGCTCCCACTCCCAAGTACGGAAAGCCCCAAACCCCGGAGAGAGAACCTACTCCCCCCAGACCAAGGAGAGTCCCCGAACTGGAGGGAAGGAGAAGGGGCGTGGAAATCCCCCCACCTGACTCCCCAACCTGCCCTCCACTATCCCTCCGCAAAGCACGTATCCCTCCCTGAAGCCCGTCTCCTGTCAAACATGGGGGTAAACGGGCCCCTGGGTTGCTGAGTCGGTTGAACGTCAGAATTTGGTTCAGGTCATGATCTCACAGTTCGTCCAAGCCCAGTGTGGAGGGTGGGGGCGCTGTCAGCACAGAACCCACTTAGGATCCCCTGACCCTCTCTTCTCTCTGCCCCTCCCTCACTCATATTCTCTCAAAAATAAACTTTTTAAAAATGGGGGTAAAAATCCCTACTTCACACAGGCTAAGCATTTAAATAGATCGAGTGGGTGTCTAGCAGATCTTAGCTCCATCCCAGAGAGGACAAAGGTATGATCGTCAAGTCACATAGCAACTAGCTAGACCAGGTCTTGACTCCTGGACAGGACTCGGCTGCTCCTAGACTTGCCACTCTGTTCCTACACACCAACGGACACCAGGGTTCCAGGTTCCCATATGTGGACAGGAGCGCCCCTCCCCCCATTAAACGTCAGCGGACCCTGTCCACTCCCTCTCACCCCACCCCCATACCTGGTTCCCTTCCCACACAGGAAGGAAAACATCAGTATTGAGTAAGAAACCTGAGTTCCTAAGCCCTTAAACAAGGTGAGGGAAGGAACAGGAGGCCACAACCTCCTGGAGCCACAAGGCAGCAGGAAGAAGTGTTGGGCCTCCGGAGGAAGAAGGCAGGTCCAGATTTAGGACTCTCCAGAAGGCGCAAGGCATCATTTGGACAGAGATTTCAGGCAGAGAACTGGGCTCATGATCCATTTGCTTTCCAAAGCTTTGGGCTAAATAGCTAGCCCACCTCAGTGAATGACACCACCCTAGTGCTCCCAGGAACACACAACAGCCGAGTGTGCGCAAACAAGATTGGGACAGGTTATGACCCCAAGGCAGTATTTCCTTTGACAGATGAGGAAACCGAGGATAGGAGGAGGGCAAGCCTATGGCGGCAGAGGATACTCCAGTATCCTGCTTCCTCTAGCCTGATACTGGGCCAGAAACTCCAGGATGGGTACTAGGCCCAGGCCCTCATCAGCTCCTTCCTCCACCCATAAAGAAAGAGTCCTAGGGAGCCTCGATGCCCACCCTAAGCCCCAATCCAGGGCAGTTTTATTGGCGCCATTTGTAAAAGGCCTTTCCCATCAGCCCCAAGCCTTTGCCTTCCCTTTCTGAGAAGGAAGATGACTTCTGATCCTGGCCCCATGGGCAACAACACACTTGGTCTAATGCTGCTGCACTGCGGTGTGACACGCCAGGCGTAGGTCCACATGCCAGTCTGCGGCCAACTCTGGGGAGCAGGAGAATGTGGAGAGCCAGGTCTGTGTATGGAAGCTGGGCAGAGCCCTGGCTGGCTGTAGAGATGTGAGGGCAAGGTGAGCAGGCCCCATGTGCACCCTAACCCCAGAGCCCAGAGTAGCTGGCGTCCAGGGTTGGGAGCAGTAAAATCAGAGATCCTGAGAGAGAAGCCCTTAGGCCAAAGACATGTACGGAGCAGGCCAGGGCAGCCAGGGGAGATTCCAGAGGGGGCAGTGAGCACGTGTGCACAAAGCCCAGGGTCAGGGACACGGTGTGCAGGGGGCCTTTGGTGACTGTGTAGGTATGCCTGCCTCCCTCCCTTTCCGATCTGCATGCCTGTGCCCCCCGCCTCCTGAAGCTGAGAGAACACACCTGGGGGTAGGGCTGGGGGAAGGCGGGGAAGAAAACTCAGGTGGAAGTGGTTCAGGCCTCAAAGCCCACATCCTGTGGGAGAGGCTGTAAAGGGGCCAGGCCACCTGTCCCAGTCCTCAGAGCTGCTGCAGTGATAGTCCTCTAGGGGCAGAGATGGATGTCCTCCGGGGGAGAAAGTGGCCCAGAGGCTAGGAGGTGGGTTCAGTCCTGCCAGGTCCAGGATCAGGAGGCCTCAGTCGGGCGCCGTCCCCCCTCCTCCTCCATCAGCAGCAGGCGGCGCCGGCCAGCCTCGTAGTCGGCCTCATCCACACTGACCAGCAGGCGGACAGCCTCCCGGCCCACGGCCTCACGAAGGGCCTCAGTCAGGAACACGCCCCGCAGGGCCTGCAGCAGGGCGCCACTCAGGTAATCGCCCCAGAAGGCGTCCAGATAGGAGAGCTCCGAGAACTTGATGTCACACACCACGGAGCCCAGGTCCCGGGAGCGCAGCACTGCAGTGGCCTGCCCAAACACGTCCAGCTGCCGGGCCAGCGCCTGGGGTCGCCGGGATGCCACGCCCTGCTCCAAGGCGGGCCCGTGCTCACAGTACTCTGCTCGCACTCTGAGCCGGATGTCTGCGGAGGAAGGAGGGACTGGTCAGGGAGGAGCCCACACGCGACACACTGAGAGATGCGACCAGGGAGGACCGCAACCCTTCCTCCCACAGTCGAGCCTCCTCCAACAGGCTCCTCCCATCCCCCCATGGGTTGCTCTGCACCTCCCCACATCCTTCCCCCTTCTGGTAAGCATACCCAAGTACGGGTGACACCCTCGCATGGCTTCCCTCCTGTGGCCTGGCCTCTGTTACCTCTTGACCTGGCAACCCCCTCTCCCCTCACATGCCCTGCTCCAGCCTCAGCACCCTGCTGCACCCCCACCCACCAGGCCCAGCCCTGCCTCTCCAGCTGGAGATGCTCTGCCCGTCTTCACAGGACTTGCTCCCTTACCTCCTTCAAATGCCACCTTCCAGTGAGGCCGCTCTAACCTATTTAAAACTTTACCACCACCACCACCCTGGCGCCCAACATGGCCAGTCTCCCAGACCCTACGCCATTTCTTCCCAAGGCACTTTGCACTTTCTAACCTCCTCTGCGCTCCCCTTATACTGTCATGCTCACCACCTGTCTCCCCCCCCACCAGGAGCCCCTGAAGGGACTGTCTCACTCACTTGTGCAGCCCTGTGGCACACGGTGGGTGTTCAACATGTATTTGTGAAATAACCACCACATGGACTAATGGCCCTGCCTTGAGACAACGGGCCTCACCCCCTCCTGCCCTCAGGGAGACTCCTGCGGGGCCAGCCACATTGCTGGCCCAGGGAGCACCGCCCGGAGTCTCCAGGCCAGAACTGGGCTGGCTCTGCCTGCAGCAGGTGCTCTCTCCCCTCAGAGGCTGCTGAGATGGTGAGCTGTAAGCCTGGAGCTGCGGGGGGCCACTCTACCACCCGGAGGGGAGAGGCACAAAGCCTACTCAGGGTCACCAAAGGAGAGGAAGAAACGGAGTGCCCCACACGAGCCCCAGACACCTGGATTTTCAGCTACCATCCGCTCCCTCTGTGCTCAGGCCAGCCTGAGCGGAGCTGCTGCTGCTTAGAACCCTGACCACGGCTGCCCAAATGAGATGGCAGCTCTGTGCAGGGCACAGGACCTGGGACTTCCCAGACTGTCCCTGTAAATGTGACCTCAGGCATGTCACCTCCCTGTGGGATTACTGAACTCCCACTCATGACTCAGGCTACTAACAGAACCTCCTCCCCACACAACACCGCTGCCCTGAGGATCAGCTGGGAGCTGGAAAAGACAAGCACTACCAACTCATTTAATCCTCAAACACTCCATGAGACAGGCCCTGCTATCACCCCAATTTACAGGTGAGCAAATGGAGGCAAAGAGAAGTGAAGCAATTCGCCCAAGGTCGCCTAGCCAGGGAGCGGCAGCCCTCCACAGAGGTCACTGAGCCTCCTGTGCCCCAGAGGACGGCTTTGGGTCAATGGAGAGATTCTAACCCAGGAGCCTTCAGGCACCAGCTGTGCAACCTGGAACAAGTCATAGCCTCTCCGAGCCCAGGTTCTTACCTGAACAGGGAATTCCGACTCTGAAAGACTGTTAAAAGGGTTAAAAAAAGAACAACGATGGAAAAGAACTAGCAAGCACAGTAAGGCGTACCTGACGGGTGCCCTGAGAACAGCGGCCGCCAGAAGCTCCAATGTGCCAATGCTTTGGGTGGGGCCACGGGGCAGGGTCAGCCTTGTGGGGCAGGGGCTGCCAACCCATTCGACAGATGAGGAAACTGAAGCTCTGGAAGGGGAAGGGCCACATCCCCGACTCCCTGCACCTTTCACAGTGTCAGCCGCAGAGCACAAGGTGAAAGACACATCTCTGCTCCCCCAGATGACTTCTCAGTACCACCCACTTCCTCCGCCCACCCCAAACCCCAAACCCTTCTGCTTTCAGCCTGGAGGGGACCCTCACCCACTCAGCATGAGGCCCAAGGAAACCTAACTGGCCTTGGCCCCTAGGACTTCCCATGGCACTCAGACCCAGCTCCCTCCACCTAAGAACCACCTAAAACCTCTGGGCCCACATCCTTGCCTCCCATGAGTGTCTGACCGCGCCCTCCGTAGGTGGGGGCTAGGGAGCAGGGGCCTGGGAGGAGCAGCACCTGTCTAAGGCCACACAGGGCAGCTCAGTGGCAGAGGCACAGAGCCAGGTGGCGGAGTCCGACAGACCTTGAGGCGAGTCCCGGCTCTGCCACTCTCTAGCTGTGGGGCCTTGGGCATGTGACCTCACCTCTCTGAGCCTCAGTTTCCCCACCTGAAAAACATAAAGAGACAAACAAGAGGTCCCTGCCGCATGGTGCGGTCATGAGGGTTAAACAAGGCGACTCATGAAGCCCCAGAGCCTAGGGCACAGAAGGCACCCAGAAACAGGAACTGCGATTTAGACACCCACCTCTCTACCCCACACAGCCCCTGCCCAGGCCTGGCCCTCTCTTGCTTGGGCCCGAGTCAACTTCCTCCCTCATCTGCTCCTTCGGTCCCAGCTGCAGTCCCCCATGCCCTGCACTCCAGGCACAAGGGCAGTGCCCCCAGCATAAGGCTTACTCACACAATGACCTGTCCACCTCCTCTGCCCCACAACACCCACTCACACACCAAGGCCCAGCCCATAGAACTGCACATCCCATGCAGGCACAACCCTCCCAGATCGCCTTTCTCCTCAGCACAGATCGGCACTCAACCTGGGGTAGAAACCATTCATCCTGAGCCTACCCCCCGACATGGCAGGTGGTAGGAGAGGACCAAGAGACTACTGTGTGTCGCATCCATTCTTCCATTCAACAGATATATTTACAAAGTGCCGGGAATGCTGGCATGAGGTGCATGCCCTGCCACAAGTGGGCCTGGGAGGTATGGAACTCTGGTTAGGGAACACCTCTCCGGGGCCAGGCCTCCCGATCACAGGCCCCAAGTCCCCACAGCACTTGCCTCATCCCCACTGTCAAATGAGGAAATCCTTCACCAGACCACAGTCCAGCCTCGGGTCTGGAGCACGAAAGCATGGTACACAGAGAAAGAGGACAAGGAGACTCCACGAGGAAAAAGAGGCCCTACATGAGCCACCCCTCCGTCCCTGGCCCTGAATCATGGGCACCAAGCTCAGTCTCTCAAGTCTTCACTGAAATGACTGAAGGGCAACAGCTGACACATACATGGTAGGTTACTGCAGAGTGGCACACACGTGTCACATTTATTAACGCTCCAATGAGCCCTGCAACCTCATCTGGTAGTGATATTACCTCCTTTCTGTAGATGGGGAAACTGAGGCACAGAGGATGAGTCACCTGCCTAAGACCACATGGACAGGAAATGGCAGGGCTGGAATTCCAACCCAGGTGCCTGGCTCCAGAGCCTGAGCTCTTAACTACCCCTGTCCTATCTGCTGCCACTCACACAACGACACACAGAAACCTGGAATTAAAAGACATCCTGAGGGCCATGAGAGAAAATTAGAGACAGCAAGCTGTAATTTAGATTGCAGTGATCAGACAGACCCTCTCCAGGAAATGACACTGGAAGTAAGATGTGAAGAACAAGTAGATCGAGACAGAAAAGCCAGGAGAGTGAAGAGCAGCATTCCCAGAATACGACATGGCCCGCACGCCAAGTCCGGAAGCAGGAAATGCACTTGAGGTGTTCACAGGCTGTGGGCCGGCGGCGGCGGCGTGGCTTGAGCCTGGAGGAGGAGCAGGGCACAGGGCAGGACCGACTGGAGGGGCGGGGCCAAGCCGGGTGGGGCAGGGAGTCGGGGCCCCTGAGGTGACCACACCCCTCCGCACCTCCAGGGCCTCCTAACATGGGCACCTGCTCTTGGGGCTGCTTTGGGGATGTCTTGGCTGGATGAAAGTCAAGAGCAGAGGCCAGTGCCTGGCACGTGATGAGCCCTCCAAGGGCCTCAGGAAGGACATGACCTCATGCCGAGACGACTCCAGCTGCACTGCGGAAGCGGCAGGCGGTCAGGAACAGAGCCAGGGCAGGAGTCAGGGAAGGCCAAAGGTGGCTGGGCCAGCACAGAAGCAGCACACGTGCAGAGAAGTGGACCGCCCCGCCCAGGTGCACCACTGAGGAGCAAGGCCCAAGAGCGTCAGGCACGCATGCAGCCGGGGCTGGGGGCCGGCCGACTTGGTTCCTCTGGCCACAGTCCCTCTCCACTAGGGTCACTGTGCAGAGAGGTTCCCTGCCTGCAGGGCAGAGGCTGTGGCTACACTGTCTTAGTGAGCAGAGCCGCTCTGGCTTCCGGCACTCAGGTGGGCCCCAGGGACCCTTGATCCCCCCTCCCGCCCCTCCCTTCTGGGGCAGAATGTGATGCAGAGGGAAATGGGAGGGAACCAGGGAAGGGACCGCACAAGGGAGAGGCAGCCAGAGAGGGCTGACAGAAAATCAGCAGGTGCTGGTTTTACGAAGGAGGCCCTGGAGGTGCGGAGGGGTGTGGTCACCTCCAGGGGCCAGGATTCCAGGAGAGCGGTGGCACCCCATCGCCCGCTTCAGTCTCTTCCCCAAGACGTGTCAAACGTCAAAATTCTACTGAATAAGGAGAGGCTGCCACTGACCCGACGGCAGAGACAAAATGAGCAGACATTACCTGCTGCCCAATGGAAAGATGGAAGGATGGAAGACCGCAACACCACCTGGGAAGCGAGCTCAAAAATACAACAGAAGTGCAAACCAGAACCTGATCAGGCCTCTCCAGGCCTGAGCAGCACTTTTCAGGAAATAAAGACAAATAGGGGAACACGTTCAATTCACTCTACCGCAGGGAAGCAATTGGCAAACTCCAGTCTTCAGGAACCTACAGAACAACTACATTCAACAACACAAGACGAGGGGGATGAGGGAGAGAAGATGGCAAGGCAGGGAAACCTCCGAAGGCAGGGAAACCTCCGAGATCGGGAGAGGCTTAGGGGAGCCAGCACTCACGAGGCACCTGGATCTTCGAGCACTAATTAGACAAGTGATACTAAGAGACTGTTCCATTTTTCTGGTGTGTGTGTGTTTTTTTTAAAGAATTCTGATCTTTTAGATCAGCAGCAGAAAATCTACAGATGAAATAACAAGACAAGACACTTGAAATTGACTCCAAAACAGTACGGATGATGCAGCAAGATCAACCATGAGTTGACAGCTGCTGAAACCAGAGGAAGATGGGACAAGGGTCATCACGGCATATCTGCCTCTGTACCTTCTCCACGGAAAACGGGGGAAAAAAGCAAAGCTCATCCTGTCACTCAAATCCTCTGGTTGCTTTCCATCATTTAAAGAAATGAGGAGCACCTGGGTGGCTCAGTCAGTTGAACGTCTGACTTCGGCTCAGGGCATGATCTCACGGTTTGTGAGTTCGAGCCCTGTGTCTAGCTCTCTGCTGTCAGCACTTGGGATCCACTGTCTCCCCAGATTCCTGCCACCTCTCCCGACTTGTGCTCACTCTCAAAAATAAATAGAACACTGGGGCGCCTGGGTGGCTCAGTTAGGTTAAGAGTTCGACTTCGGCTCAGGTCATGATCTTGCAGTTTGTGAGTTCAAGCCCTGCGTCAGGCTCAGACCCTGGAGCCTGCTTCAGATTCCGTGTCTCCCTCTCTCTCTGCCTTTCCCCTGCTCACACACACACACTCTCAAGAATGAATGAATAAACATTAAAAAAAATAAAATAAAAAACACAGATGCTTAACCGAGCCACCCAGGCGCCTCAACTGCTCACCGTATGAACAGGGGACAGCTCAGAGACTGAAGCCTGCTTCAGATTCTCTGTCTCCCTCTCTGTTCCTCCCCCACTCACGTTTTGGTCTTACGCTCAAAATTAAACAAAAGTTTAAAAAAATAATAAAACAAACACTAAAACGTTCTTTAAAAAAATAATAAAAATTACCAAAAGCCCTGGCCCATGGCTGCTGGCCCAGCAGGACCGGCCCCACCACCTCTTCCGCCCCCACCTCCCAGCCGTCTCCCCTTGCTCCCTGCCTCCAGCCTCGCCAGCTTCCTCACCAGCCCTTCATCACCACCAGCTCACTCAGACCTTGGCACCTGCTGTCCCGTATCTCACCCTCTTCCCCAGCCATATACACACCTACTTGGTCTCTTCCAAGGGGGCTTCTGAGACCACCCTACCTTGAACATGCATCTTAAACTGTATTTCCCATCACTTCCCACCCCTTGCCCTGCCTTCTCCTCTCAGCCACCATCTGAAGTCCTAGCTTGGCTTTCTCCTCCCACCAAACCACACACCCTGTGAGCACGAGCACCTCCCATCCCCGCTGTGCCCAGCGTGCAGTAAGTGCTCTGAGAACACATGTGGGATAAGAGAAGGAGCCGACGCTGCCACTCTGCACGGTGGGGGCTGTCACGCCTACCTCAGCGCTGGCTTAAAAATTCAGGGCCAGATGAGTGGCCTGCCCAGCACAGTGCCCAAGCTTAGGACACTCCAGATGTCCTTCCCCTGGGGAAACCGAGAGTTGAGTCTAGTTCTACCCCTCTGGGGAGGGCAGCTGACTCGGGCTTACCCCCCACAACTGTCAAACACCACGAGGGGGCAAGAACGGCAGGTCACTCGGGCCTGGAGGAGCCTCCTTCCACACCCTTAGTACTGGGCCTCGTTAGACGTGAGCCATCCCGGGGGCGCCTGAGTTAAGGCGTCTGACTTCAGCTCAGGTCATGATCTCACGGCTCATGGGTTCAAGCCCCACGTCAGGCTCTGCACTGACAGCTCGGAACCTGGACCCTGCTTCGTATTCTGTGTGTCCCTCTTCCTCTCGGCCCCTCCCCCATTCGTGCTCTGTCTCACTCACCCTCTCTCTCAAAAATAAACAAACATTTAAAAAAAAAAAACAAAAAAAAAAAGTGAGCCATCCCAGCTTTTTCAGAGGGAACCACCAGGGCCCTACTGGGGAGAGACTCCCTCCAGCCCCACCCTGCCCAGTGAGTCAGCAGTCAGACCTGCTTCCAGTCCTCCCCGCCACACCCTAGGTAAGCGCCTCCCGAACGCAGCCCTGTCCTCAGGGAAGAGACGTGAAGCCTCTGCTGGCAACAAGACCCTTCCCCAGCCTCAGCTCTGCAGGCTCCCTAGGAGGTAGTGACGCCCTCCACCAGCCCGGTGGCTCTGGTAATTATTGCCTGCCTCTGGGGACAGTCACACAGGGCAGCCACCCCCACAAGCTGGGGGCTGCTGGAGGACACTGGCTGACTCTATTGGTCTGTTCCTCCTGGGGGCACTAGGCAAAGGTATCTGAAGCCTCACAGGATGCTCAGGGGAGGAGGTACCGGAGTGGTGCGGGCCCAGGGAAAGAGAGTGGGCCCACTTCCATCCACATCCATCTACTCCCTTAGGACCAGGGAGACTTTCTTAAAGGCAAGGTCTAAGCACAAATCTCCGCAGCCGAATCTCCCCACCCGCCCCAGCAACACCTGCGGGCCCAGGCAGCCTTGTTCGTGCACCCCTTCTCCGCAATAGAACTTCCCCAGGCAACCTGTGCACCCCCCCCACCCCCCACACTGCTTGGGCTGTGCAGCCTCTTTACTAGATTCCCCACTTCCCTTTTGTTCAAGTTATTCAAACATCCCTGCCAGAACACACATATATGCTCAGCACGGGTCCAAGCTCTTTATAAACAGTAACTCGTTTATCAACTTATCTTCCAGAGGGAATCAGAGTCCCGTCAAAATCAGGTATCAGATCACCTCAATCCTCTGCTGAAAACTCTACGTAATGCTCACTGTATGGAATAAAATCCCAACTCCCATCTACTCCAAGGCCCAGGAGCTCGGGCTCAGGCCCTCTGCTCATGGCGCTATCTAAAGCAAGCTTCAGTTTCACTGGTCTGTCACCCTACTAGAAGGTCGCCTCCCCAAGGGCAGGGACCTCGCTGCTATTCCTGTCCCAAGCATGCTGCACAGGAAGAGCAAGAGGAGACACAAACTGGTAGGCAGCGCACGGCATGGGCCCCAGGCCAGGCGCTGGTGAGAACGTATTACTCATTTTCTCTTGCCACAACCCAACTTGGAAATCACTATTATGGGCATCATCTTACACAAAAGAGTTCGGTCACCTGCCCTAGGTCAGACAACCTATTTAAGTGTCAAGGCCAAGAGGTGAACCCGGCAGCCTGTCCCAGGATCCCCACCCTGCCCCTGTGCAGTATTTCCACCACTGCAACAAAAAAGACTGTAGAATATGAAAACCCATGAAACATTTACTGAAAAAGCAAATGAAATTGAGAGCAGGGAGTGGTCTGTAAAGGCTTCCTGGGGAAGGTAGCACATGCGATCTTTCAGCCCCTGACAAGATGTGAGCAGGCAAGATAATAACAGAAGGGACATCCGAGTCCAGATGGACAGAAGCCACTGCCTACCCACTAGGTGTGCCACACTCCAGATGAGTGCCTGTCTCCCCCACCCTCCATGCAGTCCGCCAAGGCTCCGTGTGAACATTTGCCAAGGCCCGCAGACACCTACCACAGGTCACTTTGCCTTCTGAGGCAGGTCTGGCTGGCTCCTGCTGCTGCGGGAGGGTGGCCGGGGTCCCTCTCCGCCGCCGCCTGGCACCACCGCTGGGCCGGCCCCGGCTCCGCCGCTGCCGCTTGGTCGGTGGGGAACCTAAGAAGGGAAAGAGAGGGCATGCTGAGGGCCAGGATAACAGAGCACTAAGGCAGGTGCCTGGAGAAGAGCTCAGGGCTGGTCTCCATGCCATGAATACCCTGGGTGAGCACCTCTGCTTCCTGGGCCTCAATGGCCCCGTCCATGAGATGGGCAGTTGGGGCACCTGGGGAGCTCAGTTAAGCATCTGACTTTTTTTTTTTTTTAATGTTTCTTTATTCATTCTTGAAAGAGAGATGGACCAGGGGAAGGGCAGACTGTGAGCACGGGAAGGGCAGAGAGAAAAGAAGACACAGAATCTGAAGCAGACTCCAGGGTCTGAGCCTGAAGCGGGGCTCGAACTCACAAACCGCAAGATCATGACCTGAGCCGAAGTCGGATGCTTAACCGACCAAGCCACCCAGGTGCCCCCAAGCATCCTACTCTTTCCGCTCAGGTCATGATCCTACAGTTCTTGAGTTTAACCCCCACGTGAGGCTCTGCAATGACAGTGCGAAGCCTGCTTGGGATCCTCTCTCCCCCTGCCCTGCTCGCTTGTGTTCTCTCGCTCTCAAAATAAATAAAATAGGGGCACCTGGGTGGCTCAGTCAGTTAAGCGTCCGACTTCGGCTCAGGTCCATGATCTCACGGTTCGTGGGTTCGAGCCTCACATTGAGCTCTGTGCTGACAGCCAGCTCAGAGTCTGGAGCCTGTTTCAGATCTGTGTCTCCCTCTCTCTCTGATCCTCCCCTACTCACCGTGTGTGTCTCCCTCTCTCTCTCTCTCTCTCTCTCTCTCTCAGAAATAAGTAAAACATTAAAAAAATTAAATAAAATATGAAGACAAAAAAAAGATAAGCAATAAGTGTAACCTAGCATCATTTAAAAGAGCACCCCCCACCCCCAGCAGTCCTACATGTGACCTTAATGAAACCCCTGCAGGCTCACACCAGGAAACAGGCCACTGGGGCATTGTTTATAACTATCTAAATGTAAAAACAATGTAAATATCTAATAAGAAGTACAGACTAACTTCCCGGAGTAGCCTCTGTAGGGAAATAAGCAAGGTGTAATCCAAGTGTTTATAACTGTGTGCAGTTCACCTAAAAAAAGAGAGAAAATAACAACATATACATAGTTGCTATTTTTACAAGATGAAACACTAAAGATAAATCGGAAGTAATGAAACTGGTTACCTATTCACTACGGGGTGGGGCAACAACACTGTAAATGATACTTCTAAGAACGTCTTTCCCACATACGTTAGTTTTGACTTTTGAGTCATATAACTGTTTTACATATTCAAAAACTTAAAAAGAAACCAAAATAACACCAACCATAAAATTAAACAGAAACAAATGAACCTAGCTATGTATATATACGTAATTAGTAACAGGAACGAAAGAATTATTTCAAGTAACTTGGAAGAACATTCTGACTGTAAACTCTCAGTGGGATATACTCCTAGGACAGGAAGAGCCACAAATAAATGGTATGCTTCGTTCAGCAGACGCAGTCAGCAACGGTACTGACGTTGTACTTTCAAAGCTATTTTATGATGGTTGTACAATGAAGCAAATAAATCCATTTTCCCAATGTCATTAAGAACCAGAATTTTTAGGGGCACATGGGTGGCTCAGTCCATTCACCATCCATCTGATTCTTGATCTCGGTTCAGGTCATGATCTCACAGTTCTTGAAATCGAGCCGCATGTTGGGCTCTGCACTGACAGCGTGGAGCCTACTTGGGATTCTCTCTCTCTGCCCCTCCTGTACTTGCTCTCTCTCAAAATAAATAAACTTAAAAAAAAAGGGGGTTTTTTGGGGGGCGGGGTGCCTTGGTGGCTCAGTCGGTTGAGCATCCAACTTCGGCTCAGGTCATGATCTCACAGTTTGTGGGTTTGAGCCCTGCGTCGGGCTTTGTGTGGACAGCTAGCTCAGAGCCTGGAGCCTGCTTCTGATTCTGTGTCTCCTCTCTCTGACCCTCCCCTGCTCACGCTGTCTCTCTCTCTCAGAAATAAATTTAAACATTTTAAGAATTTAAAAAAATAAATAATTTGAAAAATAAGAATCAAAATTTTTAACGTGAAAAGTCCTCATAATGCTAATTTTGAACTGAAACACTAATAGGATTTTTTTTTTAATTTATGGTTTAGGGGCGACTGGGTGGCTTAATCGGTTAAGCGTCCGACTTTCACTTAGGTCATGATCTCGCGGTTTGTGGGTTCAAGCCCCACATCGGGCTCTGTGCTGACTGCCAGCTCAGAGCCTGGAGCCTATTTCAGAGTCTGTGTCTCCCTCTCTCTCTGACCCTCCCCTGCTCACGCTGTCTCTCTCTCTCCTAGAAATAAATAAAAACATTTTTTAAAAAAATTTTAATTTACGGTTTGGTTTGGTTTGAGAGAGAGAGAGAGAGACAGAGCAAGAGTGAGCAAGAGAGGGCAGAGAGAGAGGGAGACACAGAATCCAAAGCAGGCTCCAGGCTCTGAGCTGGCAGTCAGCACAGAGCCCGACGCGGGGCTCGAACCCACAAACTGCGAGATCATGACCTAAGCGAAAGTCGGACGCTTAACCAACTAAGCCACCCAGGCGCCCCGAAATAGGAATTTTTTTAAAGCAGTCTCTGTTCACTAAAAGAATCCAGAAAAACACGCACACTCAGCACCCAGGTCTTGGTCTCTACATGCCAGAGCCTCTGAAAGAAACCAGGCTTCTAGAAACAGCAGACTCCAGGCCTGGGGAAGGAAAAGTACAAGCCGAGTCCAGGACGACCTGCAGTGACACAGAGCAGGAAGCCCAAAGGATGATGGAGGCAAATCACAAAGACAGTAGGAGCTAGTCAATGTGAACACCAGGAAGAATGACTAATATATTCTAACACAGTAAATAAACAATACATGAGCCCAGAGTGACACTCCCCCACCCCCCCCAAGACAAGAGAGAGAAAAAGACAAACTTTTTTCTTTAATGTAGGCTTTAAGCCCAGTGCAGAGCCCACCCAACAAGGGGCCTGAACTCACAACCCTGAAACCAAGATCTAAGCTGAGATCGAGTCGGACGCCCAACCAACTGAGCCACCCAGGCGCCCCAGAAAAACTGGTCAAAGACTGCCTGCCAGCTGATAGACATCGAAAAAAGAATAAGGAAATTACCATTTTGTGAACACCGATGTAATGACTGGTCCGGGCAGAGATCACCAGTGCAGGTTAAACGCACTGGCGATGCCCAAGCATCACCCCACAGGTTATTTACTAACCATCAAAGAGGAAAATGTGCCTTGACAAAGGACAAATATGGCAGACACCACCTTAACCAAGTGATCAAACTTGCCCGCTCACAGCAAGAAAACCAGACCTTATGACTCCTGATCTGCTCCAGCGCAAAGCTCACGGCATCGACCGAGGAGCATTCCTGCCAAAAACATGTAACCTGAATCTAACCAAGCCTCCTGACCCACTTTTTTTTTTTTTTGCACCTTACTTTTTACCTCACTATCGGCCCTAGAAATAAATTACTCTATGCTCTTCTTGCCACACACATTTCCATGGTTTTCAAGTTATAAACTATAACCAACGCCCAGTGGCTGTTGCCACGCTTGTCTCCTGGTGTGAGTATGTGGGGGCTTTCCCACTTCACAGGAGATACAGGGGACAAAGAAACCAGTTAAATGACACCAGCAGGAAGCTATCAGACACTTCCGAAACAATTGGGGGCAGTGTACAAAACAACGAGCCTGACTGGGTCAATAAGGCGACGGACGTCACGGGAAGAAAAGAAACTACGGGGTTGGGGAGTTTGGGTTCTAGACTACGAGGTTAAGGAGACTTCATTCAAAGCAGAGAAGCTCAACTATGAGTGGGTCCTGAGAATGGAATCACTCTTGGGGAGATTTGAAAATGAACCATCAGGATATCAGAGAATTCACGACATCACAACATATCAGGTGTGATATGGTCTGGAGATGGTCCAGGACAACGTCCTTATTCTCAAGAAATGCCTGCTACGCAGAGAAAAAGTGTCCGGGTGGCTGTAACTTTCACTCAGAACAGTCAACTAAAAACCCATCATTACGTGTACACACATGTAAAGCAAAAGTGGCAAGATGCAAGGGCGCCTGGGTGGCTCAGTCAGTTCAGCGTCCGACTTCGGCTCAGGTCATGATCTCACGGTTCATGGGTTCGAGCCCCATGTCTGACTCTGTGCTGACAGCTCAGAGCCTGGAGCCTGCTTCGGATTCTGTGTCTCCCTCTCTCTCTGCCCCTCCCCCGCTCACACTCTGTGTCTCTCTCTCTCTCAAAAATAAATAAATGTTAAAAAATAAATTTGAAATTATGTTTGAATAATTCAGGAACTAGGGGAGAGGAGACTGCATAAATGAATTGGCACGGCAATTAAAAACAACCAATTAAAGGTCCTCGACATGAATAAATCTCAGAAAGGGATCCAGCAAAGACAGCCACATGAGGAATACCCACCACGTGATGTCATTTGGATGAACTATAAAACCACAACAAACAATTCCATACGTTACTTCCGGACAGATGCTTTTGTAGAACGAACGAACGCGCACACACACACACAGGAATGCAGAGATACAATGACCCCTTGGGCCCCTTCCTTAATGGGCCAGGAAGGAGCAGGTTCATACAAGGTTCAGAAGGAAGAAAGGGACGCTGCCATCGTGCCCAGCCAGCAGCATAGGCTCACCTGTCTCCCACTGACCCTGCTGGGCGTTTGAGGTACTGCTTGACTGGCGACGGCGACGACGGCCGCCTTCTGTCCTTTTTGAGGAAGAGCTGGAGGTGCCGTAGTTGTAACGTTCCGGAGACACTTCACGGAGAGAAAAACAGAAAGAAGTATTCACAGTGTCCGGGGCCCTCCTAGGCCCAGCCTCCAATTCCCGCGTGGAGACAGACTCCTGCCCCACTGGGAGCCCAGGTGCCCCAGAGGCCGGAGCCCAGACATCCACACCCTCTTAGACTCTTCCTGTCCAGTGGATGCTAGATACCTACAGAGACAGAGGGGACTCATGACCCCCCGGGGCCACACACGGTCAGGACCCCTGCGATATTGCCCTCAGCTCTCCCTGGGGCCCCAAGGAGTAAGCAGGCTCCCCAGATCTTCTCTTACATAGCCTAACCTCCAGATGCACTTTTCCAAAAACACCGTCAGTTCTTCTCCACTGGTGCCTTTCTCCTGGTCATCCTGGGCAGGGGAAGGTCACAACCCCGCTCCCCAACTATCCACTGCACCTCTAATAACCCAGCCGAGAGCTCAACAGCTCGACAAGACACAAGGGACTCCTGTCCTTAAACCCTTGAGTTACCCACCTTCCTAGGACTGCTCCTCCAGGAGTGCTCAACCTCAGAGGATTGAGGGCATCATCTCAGAGCCAAGCCAGCCACCTCTGAATCCTGACTCCCACGATTTCCCCATGTCATCAGCAACTCCCTGAGTAAGTGGCTTCTTACCTCCCTCTCTGCTCTTGCTTTGTTGCCCCCCCCCCCGCCCCGCTCCTGCCACGCTGGTCTCTGATACCAAATTCATTCCCGACCCAAGGGGTGAAAGTTTGTCTTTCCCTCTGCCTGGCATTTTCTCCCATGAGATCTGCACACAGCAGCAGTACAGCCTCCATCCAAACATCACTTTCTCCGGAAACTCTTCGCCGGTTACCCAATCTGAGGAAGGCCGCCTTCACTAGAAACCACTGCCTATCTTCTATATTCTGTTAACTTTGCTTTAATCTTTTTATAACCACATCTAAAAATAAAATATCAGGGTGCCTGGGTGGCTCAGTCAGTTGAGCGTCCAACTTCGGCTCAGGTCATGATCTCGTGGTTCGTGGGTTCGAGCCCCGTGTTGGGCTCTGTGCTGACAGCTCAGAGCCTGGAGCCTGTTCCGGATTCTGTGTCTCCCTCTCTCTCTGACCCTCCCCTGCTCATGCTGTCTCTCTCTCTCAAAAATAAGTAAAACATTAAAAAAAAGTTTAAAAAAAAATAAAAAAAAGTTATCTGCCTTAATGGCTGCTCTCCGACACCCACTAAATGTAAGCTTCATGGAACGCTCTGTCAGTCCCAACATCTTGTACCCCCTGGTCTCAACACATAGGATTCAGTCCTGATATGTAGGCAAGCTGCTTAACTCCTCTTAACCCTGTCTTCCCTGCATGGTGGAGACACCAACAGGGTTTCCTCATGGGATTATCGGGAGAATATAAGGGTAAAGTCACACGAAAGGCTTACTGCTGTGCCTGGCATGAAATAAGCCCTCCATAAACACCGGCCACAAACATCACTGATGTGGCCAAATTCCACAAGCTCACCTCTCCCAGAACCTTGCCTCCTCCCTCTTGTGTTCCTCATTGATATTCTGGGAGGTGGGGCGGAGCGCGCCGGGACACAGGCTGATATGGTGCTGTCCCTATCAGGGCAACCATGGAGGCCCAGCGAGAGGAAGGCCCTGTCCCCACCGGAAGTCTGTCCCCCTGCCATTCCACCTTACCTGGACGGCGCCGCTTGCGCGCCAGGTGCGGCAGCAGGTCGTGGCGCGCCAGCACGCGCAGGAGTTGCCCCAGCAGCCGAAGGTTGCTCTCGTCACACTGCCCGCGGCGCTCCAGCTCCAGCAGCAGCTCCAGGCCGCTTCGGGCGCGGGCCAGACCGCCGGCCGCGCCGGGAGCCTCGTCGAGCAGGAAGGCCAGCAGCTCCAGCTCGCACTCGGTCAGCTGTCCGCCCACCACCTCGAACATGCGGTGAAGCGACAGCATCCCGTAGTAGTCCAGACATTCATCCTCCTCCCAGCTCGGGGCCGGGGTCAACCCGGACAGCGCCATACCCGGGGGAGGGGGGCGGCACAAGCTCAGAACCTGGGCCTAGAACCCACACAGAGGGGAGGGGACAATGGTCAGCGACGCGGGCACCCGGACCCCACCCCCGCCAGTGCGTCTCCCCAACCTCGATCCGCCGGGCAGGGCTACCTTCACAACCCAGCCCTCTCTGCCTCCCCCTTCCCCCAGAAAGGAATGGTATCGCCCGAAGTCCCCTAGTAACAGGTCTAGACGCTAGACCCCGCTCGTCCTCCCACCAGTCGGGCCGACCCAGCCCGAACGCCCCTCCTCAGGTGGTATGTCCCGAACCAGCCTCCGGACCCGATCAAGTGATTAGGTCCGAACAAGCGCGGGGGCCCATCCCAGGGCACCCTGCCAACTGCCCTTTGACTCTGAGTAGCACTGTCCGGACGTGCCCCTTGGCTCCGGCCAGTGGTACTGTCCGATCGGCGCCGCGACTCCACCCAAATGATACCTTCCGAAAGCGACCCTCTGCCCCCGACAAGTGGAGCCGACCAAAGCAGCCCTTCGCCCCACACAGGTGGTGCTCCCCCTACCCGACCCTCTCGCCCTGCAAGGGCGGTACCGCTCTCTCCCCAACACCCAAATGTTTCCATCTACCCGCCACCAGTCGCTCTCAAGCCTCTCTGGATCCTCACCAGGTTCTGGCGTCTCACGACTCCCGGGCTACGGCCGCAGCCACTTGTTTTGGATCTTTCTGGCACCTTCTCTATTATTACGCCTGCGTCACCTCGCCCCTCCTCCTTCCCCCAACTCGCGCAGGTGCGACCGCCACGCCCCTTCGGCGCAAGCGCAGAGTGAAGCTTCTAAGTCCCACCCCTCCAGGCCCGCCTCCAACCGTAGCGTCTAGCCCGCCAGTGCTGCGCCTGCGCAAAGCGAGAGCAATTCCGCGTCTGAGCTGGATCTGGTACCCGGTTACAGGGTTCTTCTGCGAGCCCGTGACTTAACCCTCCGGGTCCTTGTTGACGCCATGTCAAATCCATCTCATGGACTACAGTTCCATCCTAATCACGACCTAGACGCCCACTGCTCCCAGCTGCCCATGGCAAAGGACCACAATCCCGACAGTCCTGGCTTCAGACAGCGCCTAGGCCCCTTTATAATCAGGACTCGGACGCTCCCCCTTTAGACTGTCCCTATTCCTAATGCCAACCAGGAACCTACATAACAACTATGCCGTCTCATGACCCCGCCTGAAATCTCCCCTCATCCAACAGAAACTCCCATATCCCTGATCAAGACCAGAAAGCTCCCGAATCTCATCTTAGGAACCAATAGCTCCTTCCCGATTACAATAGACCCCTCCATCCTGATCGTGCACCTAATGACGGCATCCATCACGGTCCCCTCATTACAGACACCCTGTCCCCGTCTCAAACGCCCCCCCCCCGAGCCCTTTCCAATCTCTGCCCTCCAAGGTCACAGGACCTCCCAACACCCCCTCTTCTAACCTGCACCTACAAGTTGCACTCTATCAAGAGAACTGGAGTCCCCGCTGTGTGTTTGAGCACCTCCCCCGAGGCGGGGCCTTGGGCGCGGTGGCCACCACCCCCCGCCCCCACACACACCTTCGTGACATAAGGCGAAGGTCCGTATGTGCCTTGAACCAAATCCCCCACCCAGAGTGGTTCCCCCATCTCCCCCCCGGAATTATCTCCCCTTGGAAGGCAGGAGATTTGGATCCTGATTGGCACTGGCTCAGCACTGGCTTTACTTGGGCTGCAGCAGTGACCCTGAAAGAGTCTCTCCCTCCGAGGGCAATTCTCACCTACTGAAGCCCAGTGAATATCCTTAAATCAACTCGAAGAGTAGGAGGGTAGGGAAAGCAGTTTTACAAAATGGGAAGGACTATGCCCATGTTACACGGGTTATAGAGAGCACCCACGGTTTATCAGGCCCTGTGCTGAGCGCTTTTACGTGTTTGATTTCATCCAATCCCCTCAACAGTCTTTGAGGAGAGTCAAGCCCGTTTTACCCAGGACTAAAAGTGAGGCCCAGAGAGGGGAAGTACCCCAAGTGTGTCTGGCTCCAAAGCTGTGCTCTCGGAGATGCTCAGCCTCTTCAGCCATGAAATAACACCTCTGCCGAGGTCTCCCGCCACCCAGTCCGCTCCATGGGCCCTTGCTTTCCAACGATGCCCACTTCTCACCACTTAACTTCCTGACTCTTGACAGAGCAGCCCAGGAGAACTGCGCAGGCGCTCGTCTGAGGCCTGACTCCGCCCATAGGCCACAGTTGTGTGCGTGGAGAAACTCGCCGAGCCCCGCCTGAGCGTCAACACGCAGGCGCCGGGGCGCGTGCCCTCTGCTGCCGACTCTGATTGGCTGTCACGGGTAAGGGCACCGCCCAATGGTAGGTGTGGATAGTGAGGGGTCCCGCACGCCTGGAGCAGAGAGGGTCTGTGTCAAGAGCGGCGGGGGCTGCAGGAGGCGAGAGAGACGGGTGAGGGCGCCGCGGGGCGGGCGGGGAAAGAGAGAGCTGGGCGTACGGAGGGGGCGGAGGGAGAACGAAGGGGACACGGAGGGACGAAGATCCTTGGGGCCTGGGCTAGGGCGGGAGCGGCGCGGAGTGGAAGGAGAGCGCTCCTTCCTATGTGCCCTAGAGCACTGATTCAGCTCCGGCGGCGTGCGGGAACCTACCCTTGAGCCCGCCGCCCCCACCCCTTACAGGGTGCTCTCAGGCTGCGGAGTTGAGAAGTCTGGTCGGTGAAATGGGATGTGTTGCGGAAAAGTTGAACTTCCAGGCCCCTGGTGGGTTCTTTACTGGAAGGACTTACCGATCTACTGTATAGAAAGCCCCTATCCCTCCCTACCAATAGTACACAGTCCCAAAATTGGGAAGGGAGAAATGTGGAAGAAAAGTCCGAATTTTAGATTACTCGGGCCAGCCTTCTAGAGGAATATTTACTGGGTGCCTACTTTGTGTGAGCCTTACCCCAGGCTTTGGGCCTCGCCCCGTGGGAGTTCTCTGTTTGGAGTACGGGGCTGTAAACAAGGAAGAACTGACCTCTTGGGCTCCGGGTTGACTACTTCCAGGAAGACACTTTATTGGATGGCCGTTGTGTGCAGGGCCCCGGCTACTCAAATATCAGTGAGGGAGTTGGGGTATGTAGTTTAAAAAAAAAAGTAACTCCTGGGCTTTTAAAGTGAATCATTTATTCAAGGAACATTTATTGGACATCAGCTGAAAACAGTCACATGCTAGGCTGCGTTATTGTGGAAATTCACGTCTAATAGGAAAGTTGGTCTGTTGGGAGAAGTGGAATGGGCACAGGGTGAGTTAAGCCCTCACGGCCTCACTTCCTGAAGGGAGTATTATTCATTCAGAGAATATCTTCTGAGTACCTGTTGTGGGCTAATCATTGTTTTTGGTGCTGGGACTGCATCAGTGATGAAGAGACTAACATCTGTCCTGGAGTTTAATATGAGCAACTTTGCATGCCTGGCTGCAAGCTGAGCTCCACCTGCCCTCTGGTACTAGCAGATGAGTTAAAGATTGAAACCATGGAGATTGGATTCAGCAAATTAGCAGGGGGTGGGAGAACAGTCGTTTGCTAAAGTGCCTCTGAGCCCCTGTTGTGTGAAGAGGCCTAGGTTGAGCCCCCACACAGGTAGAAGGAGAGATAGAGGCACATAGAGGGAGGTTCAGAAGTTAAAAATCCCTGGCCTAGGTCCATGGTTTTGTTGGTGACATCAGCCCCTCCAGTGAATCAGACCTACCCTGCCTTCATGCTCAGTCTGGAGAGGGGCACAGACCGCGTCCTGGACTCAGGATATTTGCTATGATAGAGGTGGCACAGGTTACCATAGGAACCCAAAGGAAGAAGGAGTAGACATCACCCTGAGGATATAGAGATGTTGTCAGAAAAGGTTTCACAAAGGACATGCTGGGCAGGAGTTTGCTAGATAAGAAAAGGAGAGAACTTTCTTGGCAGAGTGCAAATTCAAGCCAAGGGTCCGGTCCAGAAGCCTGCACTCTTGAACACTGCTACACGTGCACGCGCGCGCGCGTGTGTGTGTACATTAGTAGGGGGAATGGGGCTGCACAGTGAGGAAACTGTACAGGCAGACATCAAGAGGCATTAAGGGACGTGTTCTTAGAAAAGGTGCAGCCAGTCCTCTGGCTAAGGAGGGAGGGTGGCATCCGAGGCCAGACTGAAGGAGGCTGTCTCTCTCACAGATGCCTGGCACCATGGGGCATGGGTCAGCTTCAGAACCACAGGTTTGTTGAAGACTGAGGCATCAGCGCTGGCTGCAGGCTCGCTGACTGACAGAGGCTGGTGAGCGGCAGGATGGGCGAGGAAGCTCCTGAGACATTCTCCCTTCTCTCGGGTTCTCGATGTTTCACCAGCTTTCCCTTTTCTCTCCAGGCACTGCCCTCCCTCCCCGCCATGGCAGAGGTGGCGGCTGAGGTGGCTGAAGTGGCTGAGATGCCAGCACAGATGTTACCAGGGGCGATGGAGACATCAACACTGCCGTTAGGAGAGATGATGGAGATGTCGACAGAGGTGACTGAGATGACACCTGGGGAGGCCCTTGCCTCGTCCCTTTTCTTCCAGCACCACCAGTTCATGTGCTCTGAGTGCGGCAGCCTCTACAACACGTTGGAGGAAGTCCTCTCTCACCAGGAGCAGCACGTGTCTGCTGTCACAGAGGAGGAGGCGCTGGCCACCCAGGATGCTGGCCTGGAGCCAGAACTCATGGCAGGCACCGAGGATGGGCCTTTCCAGTGCGGGGAGTGCAGCCAGCTCATCCTGTCCCCTGGCGAGCTCCTGGCCCACCAGGACGCCCACCTCCGGGAGTCTGCGAGCCAGATCCAGTACCAGTGTGGGGACTGCCAGGAGCTCTTCCCCTCTCCTGAGCTGTGGGTGGCTCATCGCAAGGCTCGGCACCTTTCCACTGTGGCAGCCGAACCACCCGCGCCGCCCCCTCTGCCTCCCCCGACCCCAGCACCTCCCCTCCTTGCCCCACCCGAAGTGAAGATGGAGCCCTACGAGTGTCCCGAGTGCTCCACCCTCTGTGCCACTCCCGAGGAGTTCTTGGAGCATCAGGGCACCCACTTTGACTCCCTTGAGAAAGAAGAGCGCAATGGGCTCGAGGAGGAGGAGGAAGAGGAGGAGGATGAGGAAGACGATGAAGAGACAGAGGAGGAAGAGGAGGTGGTGGCAGAGGTGGGTGATGATGCCCCAGGAGGCGACAGACCCACAGCTGGCCGGGCCCAGGGCTGTGGGGACTGTCCCCCCCGCTGGACGTCATCCGAGGCACGCCGGCGACACCGGCGGGCATCCCGTGGCCCGGCATCGGCAGCCCACCCGTTCCACTGCGACCAGTGCCAGCGCAGCTTCAGCTCCGCGAACCGGCTGCTGGCTCACGGGCGGGCGCACGTCGGTGGCACGCACGAGTGCACCACCTGCTCCAAGGTCTTCAAGAAAGCGGCGTCACTGGAGCAGCACCTGCGACTGCACCGCGGCGAAGCCCGCTACCTCTGTGTGGACTGCGGCCGTGGCTTCGGCACAGAGCTCACGTTGGTGGCTCACCGGCGGGCACACACCGCCAACCCCTTGCATCGCTGCCGCTGCGGCAAGACCTTCAGCAACATGACCAAGTTTCTATACCACCGGCGCACCCACGCGGGCAAGAGCGGGGCACCCCCCGCGTTGGCGGCCAGCTCCCCGGCTCCCGCCTCCGAGCCCTCGCCGCCCCCACCGCCGCCGCCTCCCGCCCCGCCTGCCCAGCTGCCCTGCCCCCAGTGCCCCAAGTCCTTCGCCTCGGCTTCCCGGCTCTCCCGGCACCGGCGTGCGGTCCACGGGCCTCCCGAGCGGCGTCACCGCTGCGGGGTGTGCGGCAAGGGCTTCAAGAAGCTGGTCCACGTGCGCAACCACCTGCGGACGCACACGGGCGAGCGGCCCTTCCAGTGTCACTCATGTGGCAAGACCTTTGCCTCTCTGGCCAACCTCAGCCGCCACCAGCTGACACACACGGGCGCGCGTCCCTACCAGTGCCTGGACTGTGGCAAGCGCTTCACGCAGAGCTCCAACCTGCAGCAGCACCGGAGGCTGCACCTGCGGCCCGTGGCCTTCGCCCGCGCGCCCCGCCTTCCCATCACCGGTCTGTACAACAAGAGTCCCTACTACTGTGGGACCTGCGGTCGCTGGTTCCACGCCCTGGCAGGCCTGCGCCTGCACCAGCGGGTCCACGCCCGAGCCCGGGCCCTGACCCTGCAGCCGCCCCGATCGCCACCTCCTCCCCCGCCCCCGCCACCTGAGCCGCAGCAGACTATCATGTGCACGGAGCTGGGGGAGACCATTGCCATCATCGAGACATCCCAGCCGCTGGCACTTGAGGACACGCTGCAGCTGTGCCAGGCCGCCCTGGGGGCCGGGGAGGCGAGCGGGCTACTGCAGTTGGACACAGCCTTCGTGTGACGCAGCCGAAGAGCAGCAATAAGAGAGGTTGCAACATCGATCGTGGGCACCTCCGGGAGAGAGGGGACCAACCCCCCGAACCCCCTGGCAAGCCGCTCTGGCACCCAGTTGGGTACCAGGATCCACCCCGGCCTCTTAACCCACTGACTCCTCACAACGGCTCTGCCGGGTGCGCCTTGTCGCTTTTCTTTGCCTCAGGGGAAACTGAAGCCCTGAGACGTGACGTGATCTGTCCCAGGTCACCCCAGTGCATTACAAAGGAGCATTTGCCGAGGCTCTTTGCTCTACACCTGTCACTCTGGTGCCCAGCAACGTCAGGTAACCTTTCCTGAGCCCCGAACATGTGCCAGATCTGTGCTGGGCCCTGTTGCATACCTTTTCGGGTTCTCGCTTATCCCTAAGACTGTCCCCTTCCCTGGACCCTGGGCACACAGGGACTTGGCTCTGCCTGGTGGTGAGAGAGGTACTTGACTTCTCTGGGCTTTCCTAAGCTCACTTATGACAATGTGGAAGGAAACCTCTAGGCAGCCAGGTACCCAGCTGCAGGCTGGGTGATGCTGGGACCCCAGGAATGACCCGGACCCAGACCCAGGCTCTTACGCCAGCAGGCGCTCAGTGGGGTACACACAAGTACAGATGGCCTTGCTCTCTGAGTGTGTCTCATTGATTCATTCAGCCTGGGAGTCCGCTGGCCTCCCTCCCACATGCCGGGCGATGCCGGGGACTGGAGAGGAGTCGGGCCCCTGGCCTGCCCCTGCGGAGCAGGCAGATCTCAGTCCCAGGATCCTCAGGACTGTGGTGGGGATGCGCAGGGACAGTGGGATCCCAGAGCAGGTAACAAACCCCTTGGAGGAAGTAGTTTTTGTGGAAAACTTAGGAATCCGCCAGTGAAAGAGGAAGAGAAAGTTAACAGGGACACGGCACTGCAAAGGGTGAGTTATTGGTATCCTTGGAGACTGTCCAGTTATTCACAGCTACAATGACAGCACACATGACCGCCTAGCTGTGGCAGGCACCACAGCTCGCACTGCACGTGGATTGTGACCCAGCGGGCCTGTGAGGTGACCTCAGTATTAGCCCTGCTGTCCAGATGAGAAAACAGGGACAGGGACTCACCCAAGTTCTCACACTAGGCAGTAGTGTCGCTGAGATTTGAATCCAGGTGGTGGCTTCTGCCCACATCTGTAACCAGTACCCTTGAGCAAGTGTGACCTGAAATCAGTGCAGGGGTCGGGGTGCTCAGAGGATTTGCTACATCTGGAAGAAAAGTGAGGCGGTGTCACTCACCAGTTGGGGTTTGACGGGGGGCCTCGAAAGATCAAAGCCTTAGGAATAAGAAGAGATCCCCAGAGCCTTTTTGAAGGTGACCTAGGGTGGCAGTCCTTCACTCCCTAAACAGAAGTAGATGATTTATGGCCGGTCCCTGGACCAAGCTCCCTCCAGGCCTCTGCAGCCCAAAGTGCTCAGGCTGGGGAGGCCAGGGCCTGGTCAAGCCATGAAAGTCAGACTAAGAAGTTGGGGTAGTGGGGAGGGGAGGGTCATAAGCGTGGGTTAGGGCTCCTGGCATCAGGGTGGGGCAAGGAGGAGGCTGCAGATGGTCTACGAGGGAAAGGATGGGGCCAGACTAGGGCTGAGGCCACAGGAGTGGGAGGAAGGGGGACACCCTCAGTGACCTCACTGCTGAGCAGATGTGAGCAGCAGGAGATAGGGGTGCCCTGGGACTGCCCCTTGCCCAGACCAGCCCTTCTCCCTTCTGTGGTCTCCTTGCTGGATATACTTATTCTACAAACAAGGTGATATCCAGAGGGTGTTGAGGAGGAAAGGCCAGAGATTGTTCTGGACAGTATACAGGTGCCCATGGGCCTGGCCCAAGCAGACTGAAGAGTCCAGACACCACAGGAACAGCCCCTGAACTCTTTGGGACATGTTCAAAACCCCTTCCCTTTTGGGGCACCCGTCTGGCTCAGTTGGTAGAGCACGCAGCTCTTGATCTCAGGGTCGTAAGTTCAAGCCCCCCCGTTTGGCTTAGAGATTACTTAAAAAAACAGTAACCAAGAAAAAAAAAAACCTTCGTTTTTTTCTTCACAAGCAAAGTCCAGTGACGGACGTTATCAGTTGCTCCTCCTTCCACTTGCGAGGCCCCCTGCCCTCACACCCTGCTGGCTGCACTTGGAGCTGCCCCTGCCCTCTGCCCGTGGCCCCACCATCTGGCCCCAGCATGTTTTCAAAGGAAGGGGAGAAACCAAGTTCTCTGCGCCAACCTTCCCACGCTTGTCGTTTCCCAGCATCCCTAGGTGTGGGCCAGGTATGTGCCCTGTTTAAAACACAAAAGCTTGGACATCTGTTAGGGCTTGAGGACACCTACTCTGCCCCTGTCTGTGCCCACTAAGGGTCTACATCCAGGCTGTTTTGGACTCAGTGACCCCTCCCCATCCAGTGTCCCTATGAAACAGCATGTAGCTTGGGCTGTGAGATGCAGAGCCATTTGTTCAGTCTCTTGACTGCCACTTCCACTCTGTAGCCTTGACCTCTGACCCCCAGTTTTCTCAACTGTCACCTAGGGATGACAGTGCTGGGTCTGTGAGGCAGGCCCCCGCCCCCCCAGGTCTCTGCAGTGGATAAGCCAGACTCCGTTTGTCACATGTGCAGAGGGGAGCTGAGGCACAGGAAAGCTGGGCCTGTGAGGCAGGTTTGGGACTCAGACCTCCAACAGCCCAACATGGTGTGTCCACTGGGCCCCGTCCCCCAGGACAGCCCTCAGGCACCACCCTCACCTCTGTGGAAACAAGGCAGCCAGACAGGAAGCAGGTTTTCATGCCAATAATTTATTGAACGGAGGTCTGTACACAGGCAAACCTTACTGTGGAAACTAAGACATCAGGAGCTCCCCCGCCCACCCCGCCCCCAGCCCTCCAGGGTAGGGAAAGGAGGGGGGAGACCTTAGGGGCAGAGGACAGGAGGGGCGACACAGCTGTAGAAGGGGGGGCGGGCCAGGTTGGACGGTGTGAATCGACGTTTTCTTTAAGAAAAAAATTATAACAATCTATTTACACCCGAGGGGGAAGGGGGAGCAGGGAAGGGAGGAGGAATAGACGGGCTGGTCTGGTTCTATTTACAAGGGACACAGGAGGGGAAGGGGGTTGGAGGAGTGTAGGCCTGGGAGGAGGGGAGGGGGCCGAGGGGGCAGGAGGTCCTCATGCCTCCAACCCCCTGTCCTTCCTTCTCTTCCCTCCCCACAACCAGTTAAAATCCTCTTAAAAAGCCCACCATAGGGTGAGGCTGGTGAGGAGGGACTGGAGATAGGGACAGGGACTCATTTACCTCTGCCCTCTAGTCTAGGGGCCCAGCCAGGTCAGGAGCTTGATGGGCTATGGTCCCCCTTCCCAGCCCCACTGGAGGCTCCCAGATGGAAGGGTAGTCGGTGGGGCCCTCAGGAAGAGTTAGTGAGGGGAGCTGTGGCGTCGGTCGACTGCCATTCCGAGCCGGTCTGAGCCTCACTTAAAGCTGAGGGGGAGGAAGAAGCAGACAGTTAACCCCTGCCCTGCAGACCTTCGTCCCTCCCGGAGCAGGGGCTCGGTGGGGGATGCTACGTGAGAATCGGGCAGCTGCCACTCTGGGCCCAGGGTCTCCTGCTCAAATGCCAAAAGGCCAGGCCCCACATAAAAGGGCAGCTGGAACCTGGCCCCAGCTGACAGTACCGCGCCGCCCAGTCGCACTTTCCTCCCCAGGAGAGACGGGAAATCTGCATTTGTACACGCGATGGCCTCAATTTTCAAACGTGGGCAACAGATTTAACTATTTGTGTGTGCACGCCAAACATTTGTCTTTGGCTTTCTGGTTAGCACTTAAACACACATATAGACGGTAATAGCCTACAAAGGTGACCATCAAGATGTGTAAGATCAAAATGTCAACAGGCTCCACACACGTGCAGGAAACTCCGGGGCTGTGGGAACAGGCTGAGAAAGGCTTTCATCTGCCGCCGATGGCCCCTGACTTACCTTGTGAGGATGGAGTGAGGGTGGCAGTGCCCGCTGGGGACCTCAAGTGAGGAGGGATGAGAATGGCGTTGAGAGATGGTTGGATGGAGAGTTCTAGAGACAGGAATGGACATGCCCAGTCAGGAGGCAGGGCACTGGGAGACGGGGTCGAGGTGAGAAAGGGGCACCAGGTTAAGGTCCCAGCTCTCAGCAAGGGTGTAGCCACTGAATACTTTAAATGAAAAGCCGGGGGGAACCTAGCACAGGTGATCACAGGGCACGGGTTAAGCGGGTTCGGGTCTCCTGTCTTGGGGGCGTCTCCTGAGCCCCAGGCCCTTCCTGTAGCCCACCCCTCAGTGTCCCACTCCTGTCTTTAACACCACGCACTCCTCCACAGTCTCTGCCTGCCCCTCTGGTTCCCTAGATCCCAGCCAAGCCCTCACCGCCAGGACTGAAATTGAAGAGGGGGGGAAGTGGGCGGTTGTTGGGAAGCTGGGTTCCGTGACATCGCAGTTCATCGAAGAAGCTGTGGGCGCAGGCTTCCAGAGGGGACAGCCTCGAGGACGGCGTGTACTCCAGCAGGCTAGAGCAGAGCGCGATGGCCTCTGGCGGCGTTCGGGATTTGAACACCTTAGGGGGAGGGGACAGAGGTCACCAGGGTGAGACGCCCTAGCACTGTGTTACCCCATACCGCGTCGCTACGGGGCCTGCAGCAATCATGACTGCCCAACTCCCGCAAACCCACTTTCCAGCTGAGGCACTGCCACTGAGGGCCAGTCACCTCCTTTGGGGTGAGCAGCTCACCCAGGTCCCATGGCGGGACTGGCCCTGCTATGAGCCTGTTTCCCCACCATAAAAATGGTGCTTTTGAACTTACTGTCGATCCTCACCTTCTCAAGTATGGAAGATGCCATAAAATTGGAAATGTGAGGAGTTACTAACCCACTCCCAAGCCCTGACTCTAGCCAGGTCCCCAAGAGCAGCTGGCCTCCAAAGGGGACCTCAGCCATGCTGCCTGAGCCCCTAACCCTTCTCCACCTTTGTCCAGGGGTGAGCTTTAATCTGGGGAAACTTGAACTCCGTGTAGTTGGGGTTCATCTCTCGGATTTGTTCCCGGGTTGGTGTTCCCAGCACCTGGAGAAAGGGAGAGGTCTGAGCCAAAGCCCCCATCCGTCAGCCAACACCCCCCACCCCCGCCCGCCCTGCCGTGCCCTCACCTTGATGATCTCCACCAGCTGGTCTACCCCACTGTCCCCGGGGAAGATGGGCTGGCCCAGGAGGAGCTCAGCCAGTACGCAGCCAGCTGACCACACATCTGAAGGGGAATGGGGGAGGGTCAGGGCTTCTCCACCCATCCCCTCACAAGCGCTTCTATCCCCACCCCAGTCATCCCAAGGGTGCCAGGACCCCCGTTGTCTCAGCCCTGGGAAGCAGCACCCTGCTCGAGGTCCCACAGTTCAGGAACGCTGGAGCCTGATGTGGAACTTCCAGGCCTGACCGACTGCTGCACTCTCCACTCTAAGTGTTTCCAGCCTTAAGTGCCTCTCTCCCCTGGGCGACCCCAGTAAGCCCCTGCTCTGCCTCCGGCCTTCAGACAGCCCAACATACCTAGAACAGGCATCTGTGTTCTTCGGGCTTTAATTCCCAGGCCTAGCCTCTGTCCTGCCCACAGA